TTGCATTGAAGCTGTCGTTTGACATGTTTTTTTCTACTGTTTTCCCCATTCCAGGTCGTCTTAGCATTGGGCAACTTTACATGATGTCTTTTTCAACCATAGACCAAAGCCTGGTCTCCTCAGTTTATAGCCTTCCTTGTGTGTCTGATATCTTAGATCTTGAGATCCTTCGTACATTATCCTCCCCTCTCCTGCCTCATTCATGCCTGTGGATTTGTTTGGAGTTTCCAGTTGATAGAGTTTCACGCGAGCCCTTATTTTCTCCTTCCTTGGTTAATGTGGCCAGTATCTTCCCACTGAGAGGCTGGAGGGAGTGTTTATCTCCTGAGCACTCAGGGATGAAGGCTTCGGGAGGTATAGTGTCGACTGTGTGCACAAGAGGGTCTTTGTTATATCTGTCCTGGACCTTACCACCTGGCCACTGCCACCTTTTGTTCTCCTCTTTCGAAGTCTGCAACATGATCCACAGCTTGCAAGAGAACACTGCCTGTCGACTTAAAACTTTGTAGAGCCCAAAATGAGGCAAACTTTGATTGGTTATTCCCTGCTGTGTTTGTTGCTGTAATTTATAGCTTTGTGTTTGGTATTTTTAATACATTTGTAAGATTTTATATGTGATGTTATCTAACAGTATCCATATCAGTTTGAGTGTCTCAGCCAGTTGAAAAATGTGGGAGGGGGAAGTGAGTAATCCTCACTGCTGAAAGAAGTGCCGATGTGCCCGTGAGCAAGGTACTTAAATTGTAGTCCAGTGGAGCTGCTAAGTGGCCAGCAGCAGTGGGCTGATTGAACGGGGGAAAGTCTCAGGTGTAGTATGTTCATACTCTAGGAATGTCAGCTGGGTGTTTGGTAGAAAAGAGCATGGGGTTTGTTTTGAGGTGAATCCCAGTCAAACCCACAAAGTTGTGCGACTGGGAATCTACATTATATTTGAACTTAAGTAGTGGCATCTTTGTAGCATCTCAAATAGATTTTTGAATGGCCATTTGAGATACAGTTGCCATGCTGTAAAGAATGGCAAGCTGGGAAGCCTCTCGCATCTTTGGAGTTCCCAGATAACACTGCTTTAACCCGATGGGATTATGGAGAAGAGGAGTACCTCGGTAGCCAAATGGTTATAGCTCATGCCCACTGTCACAACCGTCACCGGTTCGATGCCTGCTGGCAACATTTGTTGTCACTATCCAATAAAGGTAAAAAAAAAAAAAGATCAGATCAGAAAAAGAAAGAAATAAACCATAGAATGTGACAAACTTGCTAACCCAACTGGCTATGGACTAGGGACCGAAGTGAGTGTGTCTCCTTCACGCACGCACTTATGTTGCCCTACTGCCCTATGTTCTTTACACAAAGCTGTCTACCTACGAGGAAACCAACTCTTCAAATAGGTTATTGTTAAGCCTTTAAGGAAAGCTCTATTTTTTTGTTTGTTATAATATAGAGTAGAGAGCAAGCATTTGATCAGGACCGTGAAAGCATGTATTGTAATGCTGGCTTTTTTTTTTATCATTAGAAACGATACCAGTCAGTGACTCGTATGTGTGTTTTTAAACTACCTGTTCACACACTAATCGTTTATTTTGTATTTTTTTACTTAGTAATAGTAGTTATACCACAGGACTAATGCTGTGTGTATTGTGCATTGAAAGGGTTATTGTTCACTGTAATCATTCCACCTGTGCATACTGGCTTCCTCTCACGACTCCAAAGTAACATATGGGGGACAAAATGTGTTTCAAACTTTAGCCAAGGTTAATATGAAGCCTCAGTAGCTTGAGTGAGCTAAATCAAGTGGGTATCACAGTCCTGCGAATCACAGAGTGAATTTCATGCTAGAAAGACTGGATCTTTAGAAAATACCTGCTTGTCTTATATTAGCTTTGGCGAAATGTTAGAATGCACTGTGGATTTTGTCCACTACACACACTACAGTGGAGCCACTTGGAAAGAAGGAAGGTTAGGAATACGGCCAGAATGGACAGGAGGAATGATTACAGCAACCAATAAGTCTAAAGTCTACAGTACTATAATGTGTAATATGAGACCAGTATTCTGTTGAGACAGACTTGTGCACTACAAATATGCAATGTAAACCGTGGCACTGATTTTACCAGTTGGTTCTTAAGGCTGCACGTCACTGTGGGCTAAACTGTAAGGAAGCCAAGTTTTATCCAAACATAGCTGCACACATTAGTATGTTCTTCCTGAAGGCTAATTCATGAAAATGGTTTGACTGAGGCAGAACATGTGAGGTCTCAATATAAGCTGAAAATGATGTATTCAATTTTTTGGAAAAGGTCTGATAATAGATTTATTTTTCCGTTTGTTTCACCAACAGAACGTGGTGTCATTTATTTCTTGCAGTAGGAAAATCAGCTTTCAAAATGGGAAAATGGAGCGTTTGTTACTGTAAGCGTTAATCTTCTTTGTCATTGTTATTTCTTTGTGCTCAAGTGTACAAGAGTGTTTTCAGATCAGTGCAGGTGACACAGTGTGTTGTGCCCTGGGTATTGTTAATCACTTGACACCAGCAGAGAGAAATGGAAATGTCCAGCAGGAAATAATCCCTCAAAACATAACAAGCTGCCAAGTTATCGGGCTGGAATTCAAAATCATGTTGTTGTTTTCCATTGGTGCTTAAGAATATTGTTAGCATTAGAGACGTTTGTATCTGTACTAGCAAACAGCGTGATGATGCAGTGAGGCACTTTATATGTTGTGACCAAATACTGACTAACAAGAATCTTGTTTACAGGCACACCTTCTAGGAATGCTGTTTTCCCATTCCAGAGAGCAAAGAGAGTGTGAGTCAGTAGTGAAACTGCAGTGCATGCTTCAACGTCCTTCACCTCAGGAAGCACCTATTCCCCGTCCTACGTCTGTGCACACTGACAGGATCCCGTTGCCATCCCTTCACATTCCTGTTTTGAAGTTGCTGCAGTTAGGGTGGATGGCTATGGTGCTGTGGGAGGGACAAACTTGAGCCACACTCACACCAGTCCTCCTTGGGCTTTTATGCCTGGTTGCATAGCTTAATTGGTATCAAAGCAGTGTGGCCACATGTTGAGACAAGGGAGGTACACAGAGTTGAGCATGAGAAGGGCAATTATTACAGGACTAAACTGTGTGGCCGTGTGCACCATCTGTTAACTGCCTACATATACGCTTGTGAGAGACTGCATAGAAGAGCTGGGCAGTATAACAAAATATCAGATTTTCAGATTTGATCATAAGTACATGTATTTTCCAGTTGCTTATTTAAAGCTAAGCCAAAAGTTAAAAATGCTGTAGTCAACAGTTTTATATTAACAATGGATCAAATGACTCTAGCATATGTTATCACCAGACTGCAGTTTATCTGAACTTTAGTTTTATAGTTTCTTTCAGCTCATTGTTTTGGTTTTGCGGTTCACTCTCACTGCTCTTATCAGCATCGTTTTTAGATGCTGAAGGCAGCTGTTTTTAGTTGCAAAGTTCTGAAAATCAACTCTACCTACCTGCTTGGCACTAAACATTAAAAATGCAAAGCTAGCGGCTAGCTGGTGAACATAGTTTAAGATGAGTTAGCTTAATATTTCCCTCAAGAGTGGGTGAAGACCAAAACAACTCAGGGAGAACAAAGGAGAGCAAATACATTACATTTGGTATGTGGCCAGAAACACGACTTCAGATGAAAGCTAATGTTACTCTGTATCTGCTTGATGTGTACATTAGCCAAAAAATCTATTAATGCATATTAATGCAGGTATGATTGGCAAAGCAAATATTGGTTTAGTTAATGCCAATGGGGGAAAAAGTAAATATCCAATAAATCCTTCAGTCCACTATCTAGCTTTTTGTGGGGCTTTCACCTGCAACCCATGGTCTTCATCAGCAGCATGGAGTTTTCTCAGTTTTCATTGAGAGCTGAATAAAGCTCACCTAGCTGAGTTTGACAGTATGATCTGATCAAGAAAATTGAACTTCTAATGCTAAAATCTGGTGTGTTTTTTAGTTAATGATAATAATCAAATATAGTAAAGAATATATTTTAATTGTTTAACTACATATTACATGTAGACCTAAATTTAATTCTGTGTGTTTAAGTGAAAATGTACAAGGAGCAGTTTCTTAATTAAAGGAAAGGAAAGCCAGCAATCTAACTCTTTGGACTTGTTTAGATTCTAGTTTATGTAACACCCGTCCCCTCTCTGGGTTGGTAAATGCCTGAGAATGTTTTTAATTGAGCCAATGTGAGAAAGGTCTATGAGCCAGAGCTCTGAGACTGCCCGAGGGTATTGGGGGAGCCTGAGCACATTCTTCCTCTCTCTTTAAACTAGATACTCAGAGACTGATAGACAGACCCCACTCTGCCAGACACTTTCAAGGACTGATAGCACTGCCCCAGGCCAGGGTTGGGGATTTCACATTAGACTGGTATGACTTTTTGATGCAGCAGGACCCCAATGAAAGAACGCTTTAGAGTTTACTGTGTTAAAGTTAATGTAGAAGAAACACTGTCTGTGTATGATGTGTAAGATGTCCATGTACTACGGCATTTCTTACGCTATGCATTAAATAAAGGCTGAATGGTTGAACAGACTGTGGATGCTGTGTGCAAGTTCACATTTTTCTATCTAAGGCATTCCAGTCCGTTCCTCCAAACCCCTTACCCTGCCCAATTTTGTTTCCTGGATTGAAAATTGCGGTCATATTTTGGATGTTGTCTCACTTTAACGTTTTGAACTTGGGAACTTGGGCACTAAGAGGTCTCAAGTACTAACAGATGTGGTTAGTTCATCTCTCTTATTGGGGGGAAACCCTCCTAATCCAAGCTGGCAGTTTGAGTGGATATTTTACCATTTTCCTCCGGCTTGCTCTGTGTGTGCGCATGCTTGTGTACATATCTTCCTCTAAATTAAAAAAATTGATGTCCACTGTAGTGGTTTTTCTTCTTTCGAATGATTAAGTAAATTAATTTTCTCAAAAGGTACAATTTTATGTCCTCTGTTTTCACACAGGCCTAGATGCAGAGCTCTACTATGTGCGAGACAATGTGGTGAATCATTATGCTCTCTCCTTCACCCTGCCTGTGCCCAGTGAGACCAACAGCCTTCACTTCACATGGCATTCCAAGACAAAGGTAGGTCTCCTCATTGAGAATTATTGCTTACTTGAGCACACATTCAAGGCAGCCCATTTATGTGCTGACGTTTGTTCATCATACTTTGTTTATAGGTTGACTACCAGCTTGAATTCTTCATGGAAAACCCTGTTGCCATGAACCAACCACGGAGCAACATCTCCAGTCAGGGGGAGGTTCCCCGTGTTCCCTCTGGTTCGTCAGATATCTGCCTTTTTTGTGTCATGCACTCATAGGCCTCCTACATACTACATCTAAATTGTTTTGTTTTGGGTTTTAGTTGCCACAAAGTGTTTGTTAAAACATTATCCTAGCTACTGTATCATGTATGATCCCAGGCTCAACTAAAGGAGTAGTTTGACATTTTGGGAGATGGATTTTTATTGCTTTCTGGCTGAGAGTTTAGTGATAGATTGATACCACTCATTTCTATATGTTAAAGATTCACATTTAGGAGGATCTATTGGCAGAAATAGAATATAATATTCATAGGTATGTTTTCATAAGTGTATAATCACCTAA